CGTGACCTTAAACAGTGACATTAAAGGCCACGCCCAAATACATTTAATCATGTGAAGAGAGACACGGATGATTTTTTTTTATTGGAACTATTATACATTGGGTTAACAAAAATACCAATGACAGCAACTTTATCCTGTACATAAGCCCAGACAGCAGCCCCAAGGGACCCACGGGGTCTTATATAGTAGCAACATGATAAAATCAAGCAAAGAGAGACATGAATGAAACCAACTAGGAATAACTATTTGTACATTGTAGAATGCTGAAACACCGATGACAGCAATTTTTTCATGTACCCTAAACAGTGACATTAAAGGCCACGCACAAATGTACATTAATCATGTGAAGAGAGACACGGATGATTTTTTTTATTGGCACTATTATACATTGGAGGTAACATAAGTACCAATGACAGCAACTTTATCCTGTACATAAGCCCAGACAGCAGCCCTAGGTTCCCAAATGGACTTATTATTTATAGTATGATATGGTCGAATCTAATAATGATTAGAGATAGTAGAATGCAACTGAAACACCTGATGACACAGACAGTGGTTCTGGAGATCAACTTCAGAATAAAACAGGAATTTAGTGAAGGATGGGACCACTTACACTGGAACTTTGGAAAGAAAATCCATTTGACAGCAACTATTTACTACTTCAGCTATTGATAAAATTTTGTTAAACACTGACTTCAGATGAAATACAACAATGCCATAATACAAACTCAGTAACAAATATTTATTAGATCGGATTAAACTACAGAACATGAATTGTCTATACATGATAAATGGTACAGCGTCAAGGTCTATTTCAGTCAGATTGTTGAAAATATGTAATCATAGGATTAGAACCTGGTAGTTTCTACTATTACAACAAATGTGTCCACCGTATCGATTATGGATTCATTGTAAATCAATTATCTATATTATTTTTTATATATTGCATACACAATTGAAATGCGGTATTGTACACTGTGGTAACAATGTGTTTGTAGCAGTACGATACAAAGCACAAGCAAGAAACACTTAACTAATAGTTAAACAATCCCTCGCCGGACACCATCCCGGTATTTCTGAGTCTAGGTTTCGGGGCTAGAATTTATGGAAGTACTTCCATTTTGTCCTGCATTTGTTAGAAAACAATAAATACTTAAAAACTTAAACTGAGGTATTGTGCATTGAGGTAATAACATGTTTGTAGTAACATGTTTGTTTGTATCTTGTTTGTACTTTGTATTAGTAGGGCGGTTAAGGAGAAAAATCGCGCACTTTTGGAAGAAAGCATGAAACTTCCCACAGTGATACTATGATACCTAAGGATCATTAAAAAAAAATAGACCCCAAAAAATAATCCGCCTAGTGGCCGTCTTCTTGAAATTTAAAATGGCCACCAAAATATTGGATTTTTATCAATAATGTTTTTGATCTACTTGTTTATTATATGATGCAAAAACGCTTCTAGACAGTCGAATACAAATTTTTTTATTCGTGTATACATATACCACAGGTGGGCAAAGTGCGGCCCGCGAAAATAAATTAAAAACCCTGTGTGACCCCAAAAAATAATCCGCTTAGTGGCCGCCATCTTAAAATTTAAAATGGCCACCAAAA